TGGGGAATTCTGGGAGTTGAAGTCCACACATCTTAAAGTTGCCGAGGTTGAGAAACATTGCTCTAGAGTGTCACTTTGCTAACCCATCCCAAGTTTTCCAAGAAGAAATCCAGGGGGAACCTTGCAGTCAGCTAATATCATCCTTCTACAGCCGTGACAGCCTGAATAGTTCATAGGATAGAAAAGCTTCCAATTTTCAACATATGCACTAGCTTACTTTAGTTCTCCAAAACAACTGAGGATGAAATATTAAAAGATACTAAAACAGCAATAAAACGTTGGATTTCTGAGCTGCAGTCCAATAAAGGTGTTAGAAAAAATGCTGAGCCAAAATGAAACAAAGCACGTGGTGGCTTAGCGTCTTGTACCTACCCAGTGTTTCCAAGCAATGGCAAATGCATTTAAGCATAATGCACGCTTTCTAACATTTCTGGACAACCCCTTTTATCTTTAGTAGTTGCTCAGCAAGCCACCATTTCGAGAACGACTGTTCCCCATGACCAAAATTAGCGGCGGGTTTTGCCCTGCTCAGAACTGTGAAAGGTCATCAGGATTTTAAAAAATGGCAATTTTCACCATGCAAAGGGTCTGTACAAATAATTTCACAGCTTCCCAAAGGAATCAGGTCTGAGAACCTAACAGCCATCTGCCTCCCAGTGGCCAAAGCCTGAAAGCCAGCACTCAAGCCCAAACTCAAGGATGGGCTTACAATGATCTGGGAGCTTACACAGCATTTTAAAAGCCATGGTTCATTTAATCATAAATTCTTGAATAAATCACAGCTGATTCATGCAAGATGCTAAGCCAGAATCAAACCAATCCTATTAAGGCTTCGTGTGAGCGGTGAACTGTCTGTAAGTCACCTTTGCAGATCTGGAAGAGAAACACTCTGCAAATGCTCTAGGGTGGGAGGCATTTCCAAACCCTGGCAATATTGAAAAACTGGATCCAAACAATGGTGGATCTCTTTGTAATCTTCTGGGCAACGAGAAGGAGGATCAAAAAGATCTGCAGGTCTGGTAACATATCACTGTACTAAGGGCCACCAATTTCCCATCATTTATCACTGAACTACAGGGGAGAGAAAGAGGAAGGAAACTGGTGTTAGGGATCAATGATTTTCTGGCTGCAGGCAGTTTGTAACTTGATACCCCAAGGAGATGAGTCAATTTTATCTTTCTTGGCGAGGAACACAGTGCTACAGAAGACATACACACACACTACAAATCTAGGAATCCCATTTATTATAACCCACCAGGTGAGTTCTATTTATCTTTCAAGCTTTGTCTTTCCCACCTCTCCTAAATGCATGCGCCAATTTCTTCCCCCAACATCATGATTTGCCCCATCCCGACAATAGCCCCCTAAAATCCAATATTCCCCCCCCCAATATAATTGTTCCCCTTCCTTCACATTGTCTTTTCTTTTCCTGGGGGAGGAATGGGGAGAGACTATTCCCAGCCACCCAACCATTTATCCTCTCTGCACCCTTCCCCATTTTTCCTGCTTTCTTGAGGACTGAGGTATCCTGGACTCACCAGCCCCTTGCCCATCTCACGGGCTTTAGACGGTGCTGCCTTGATCCGCGGGAAGTCCCAGAGCGATGCCAGGAAAAGCAGCAACAGAAGCATGTTGGCAGTGATGTCTCCGGGCACAGCAGAGGTCCTATTTAGTCTCTCGTCCCCCCCCCTTATCTCCCCTCCCCTCCTTCCTGTCTCACTTCTCTCTCCGCCCCTGCTGGTCAAATTAAGTTGGGGGGGAAGAAAGATGGGAAGTAGAACCCCTCGGATTTTCTAGTCGAGGAGAGAGAGATGAAGTGGAAAAAGCAAATGCTGATGGAGATACAGGACTCCAGAGTTCTTGTAAGGTGAGTAGAAGCTGGTTGGTATATTAACTGCCTGTTTATAGGACAGAATTCAGCAGATGAACCTTACGTGTGTGCAACCTGCTGAATTTCTGCCTGTCAGAAAGCTGGAAAGGTGGAGAGAGGGAGACTTCCTAAGGTCTAAAATCAGGAGGGTTGCACCTTTTCAGACTAACAAATACTATTAAAAGGCAGATGCATTTTCATAAAATTTGCTAATCTGACAAGGTGTTACCAGACTGCTCTGAATTTTTGGCTGCTGTAGATTCACACCGTTCTCCTACAGGACTTACTAAAGCCTAAAATCTCAGCTAGGCTTGTTAAGGAGTCCTTCTTGGTCATCGGTCTTAATACTGAGTCAAAAGAAACACGGGATGTGAAACAGAAGCCGGGCAGCAAGAATGCCTGTTCTTACTTCTGCAACCTTGGGGAGGGAGGGAGGAAGAAAGCTGTTAACCTTAAACCGATGGAGTCTGATCAGTCAGTCTACAATATCCTAATCTCCTCCCCCCTCACTGCCCCCCCCAATCCCTGTCTTAGCTCACACATTGCACTAAGCATCAAAAAGCTTTTGATAAGGTTCAAACTAAGTTTTTGGAGCGTGTTCTCAAAATATGTGGATTCCCGTCACCTTTTAGAGCAGGGTTTCTCAACCTTGGCAACATTAAGACATGTGGACTTCAATTTCCACACATTTTATTGGGCTTCTCAAATAATGTTTTACACAGGATGGATATCAGATTTTTGTGTGTGTTGGTATAAGAAAGTTAAGATCTGCCTGACTCAGATGATTTGGATTGCTTCCTTTTTGGTTTCAAATCATTATCTATGCTAGAACAGCCCTTAGTTGAAATGTGATCCTGAATCAGACTATAAAAATATGGAATTTCACTTTTTTATGGAGAATTCTGCCTCTGCCTCTATCACGACTGGAGTTTTTCAAAGGAAATTATGTAAGTAGAAAGCAATCAGCGCTCCGGGTATTAAAGAGTAGATTCAAGAAATGTGCTCCCTACCAATTATTGAAAGTGAGAAGATGGAGCAAAATGTTTCCTAATGGTCTAGATTTAATAATACATTAAAGACTTCGGCTAGTTCTATATTAATATTATATGGATCTCTTACCCCCCCTCCCTTTTCTGAGTTTCAGTTCATTTTAATCACTATTATGTACGTATTTTACTTTCCTCTGATTGCACTATCTGTGTTGTATTGTTTTTGCCTTTCTTTGTAAAATTTCACTATAATAAAAATCACTTTTAAAAATGCTAAGCCTTAATATTTGGGATTTGGCTTCAGGTGTTATGTCCAACCAACCATAGATTTTTTTTATTTTTTTTTACTTTGCGGCCCATTTGACTTTGCTTCCCTTTTGCACGGGGGAGGAGGGTGGGGGGATGCATCAACACAGCTCCTGTTTGCCCACATTCCCTTGGACCTCCCTGTTTAATTTCCGGCTTCACACCTGGCTACCTCCTGATGAAGGGAGAGGAGAAGGGTGAGAGACGAAGGCCAGATCCCACAGGATGGAAGCTGGATGGGGTGAAGGCGTCAGGAGATGAAGACTGGAGGGTTAACCTGCAGGAAAGGCAGATTCATTCCTATCCCATTTTTTTAATGATTCATCCCCCCCCCATTTTTTTTAAAAGCCTTTCAGTCACAGAATGATTTAATGCTAAGCCATAGCCTAACCATAGCTTATTGAAGAAACCCCATGCTAAACCATTAGCTGCCATAATTGGATTCCCCAAACAGAACCATTGCAGTTGTAGAATCACAAAGCTGACTACCACATCCTGTGAAAAGGAAGCCACCCTCCCTTTGGGTACTGAATTCTCCCCTTGAACTGTTCTTTCTGGAAGGAATTGATTCCTAACCTTCACATGGAATTGGTCTTCCTATAACTTAAGACCTTTGTGTCTCACTCTGGGAGATAAAGAAAATCAGAATCAAGCAAACCATATGGCCATGTGTGTGATGTGCCTGTGGTGTATATTTACAACTTCCTTCTACAAAGGGAGATAGAGTTGAGTCAGTATCTGGGGAAAAAAGATCTTAAAAAAAAAAAATTCCCACCATCAGAGAGGATTATACGTTAGTGGGACAGGGTGTCTTATGGAAGCAATCCTTCCCAAAATCAACTGCCTTGCAGAGAGAAAGAGATCCCTATATAAATGGGTATCGGGCATCTCTCAGATTTTCACTTGCACATTAACTATTTGATAACACAGAAGAGGATTGCAGCGATAGAAAATAATTGCAATGCAAATGCTAAGCCTTTGCTTTGGCTTTTCCTGGAACACATTTTCGGTTGTGGTCAGTGTGGGATTGAATATGCATTGAAAGACCTCTGCATAGATCCAAGATAAATTAGCTTTTCATAAGTCACTGCTCTATCCTTTTCTGGCAGCGCTATGGATGAGGTATTCAACTGCTTAGTTCTTGCACCTGTGTGAAAGATTGGAAATTAGACATAAAACAAAAAGGGACTTAGGCTAAAAGCAGCAAAAATGGGGAGGGGGGGTTGGCTGGGTCAGTAGTAAAAGGAAGGGATAAGCCTGCTGTTTGGAAAAGATGGTGGGATAGTAACAGAGGACAGGGAGATAGTAGCAACTCCTACTTTGCTCCTATCCTTCTCCCAAAGAGAAGGTGGGTTCAGATCGATCTAAGCCAGTGTTTCTCAACCTTGGCAATTTAAAGGTGTGTGGACTTCAACTCCCAAAGGCTGGCTGGCTGGCTGGCTGGGGAATTCTGGGAGTTGAAGTCCACACACCTTCAAGTTGCCAAGATTGAGAAACACTCATCAAAGCAAATAGCTGGTGCAATGAAGAGTAGCAACCTAAGCTAAGTAAAGAGATAGTAGGAATTATCTGGCTACTTAGGATCTCCAGGACCAGAGCATTGCACTGAAGAGTCTTGCAGACACCATCTTGCAGCTGCATTCTGTGATCTTTGAAAAATCATGGACAGATGTAGTTTGAGAACAAAAAAAAGGCCAAAAAACAAAACCCCAACCTCAAGAAAAATATAGCAATTATAGAACAGTCAACTTGATGTCCATGTCAGGCCAATCTTTGGAACCAATTATTAAGCGGTTGATTTGCGGGCATGTATCAAGTTCATATCACGCCAATTCAATCTGATCTTATTTTTTGACAAAATGTTGCCCACAGGAATGTGGTAGAAATAGTGTACTGTACTTTGATTTCAGCAAAGCATTTGACAAAGTCTCCCGTGGGATTGTAGTAAAAATAATGGGAAAATGGGGGAGCTGGATTTTGCTACCATTTGCTGGTTGAACAATCATACCCAATGAATATATGTCAGTGGCTTCGTGTCAGACTAGAAGAAAATGCGGTGTGGTGCACCACATGCTCCAGACTAAGCTTTGTGGTATTCACATATTTATAAATGACCTGAGTGAGGGATTAGAAAATAGATTCTCTCATTTGTGGGCAACAGAAAAGATAGGTAAGGTTTGCATAGAATCCCCTTAAACAATGTATTAGGATTCCAGAGGATCTCGACAAGGTGGAACAATAGGCAGAAGCCAACAAGGTACATTAAATGTCAAATATAAAGTCCTGGATCCTGGATTGCAGCAAATATAAAAAATATCTGGATGTCTTGCTGGATTATACACTGAACATGAGCCAATGGTATGATGTAACTGCAAAGAAAGCAAATGCAATCCTAGGCTGCATCAACAGCCTCACTGGGCCAAGTTCAAGAGTAGTTTTGGTTCCTCTCTATTCTGTGTTTGTCAGACCACACCTGGAATACTGCATCCAGTTCTGGCACCACATTTGGGAAAGACGTCGTCAACCTGGAACGTGTAAAGAGGAGAGCAGTCAAGATGATAATGGCCTGGAAAGAAAAGAAGGAATAGTTGGAGGCATTGGGTCTGTTTTGCCCTGAGAGAAGACTGGTGGGAGACATGATAACTGTCTTCATGTAGGAAATGGGGCAGAACTGTTCAGAGTTCTTCCAAATGAGAGGACAAGTAATAACAGGTTCAAATTAGGAAAAAAAAAAGTATTTGATTGGACATCAGGAAAGGTTTTTTAATACGGTAGCAGGAGCTGTTCAGACTGCTTTGGGAGGTGGTAGAATCTATGCTGAGGGTGTTGATGATGGATGGCCATTTGTCACAGAGGCTGTAGGAGGAGATTCCTCCACTGGGGCATCTTCTCTATTACCTTATTTAAGACATTATTCTTCCCCTCCGGTTCCTAGAACACTAGGTGAAACCCCACTCCAGAAGTCTATTGATAGTACAGCTCCAGTGACTGAGACCTTCTCCCAGTTGCCTTGATCCTCTGAGTTATGTATCTTCTGAGTTATCCTCTGAGTCCTCCTCCTCCACAGGGGCCCCTCTTTTCTTTGTAGTGGCCTCTTCCTTCCCCTGATCTTTTTGGAGACATCCTTCTGCCATATCCAGAAACACCTTGCTTTCCCTGATAAGTCATCGGGTGGTCTGACATGCTTCTTCTTCTGCCTTCAAGGCAACGTTGACTTCTGAGCAACTGCCTGGACTAGTCCCTGCAAGTTTTCTTGGCAAGATTTCAGAAA